TCCCAGGTTGAAGAAAAACCTGAAATAGCAGAACACTACAGACCAACTTTCAATAATTTCATCAAAAGGCGCCATGGCAGCATTGCCATGTGCGCGACTCTGTCAGTACTGATAGGGATATGAAATCAGGAAACTATATATTCTTTACATACTTGAAGACTGCTTGCTGCCAAGTGCCAAAAACAAATTGTAGGAATAAGTTATATGCCTTGAAAGGAATCTCACCGAAGAGTGGTGACATCAGCAAGAGGTAAATCAAATCCATTCACATCCCGGCTAGGAGCAACTTCAAGATTGACAAGGCGATAAGTTGCCAGATCAAAATGTGGTACATTCATGACTGGCGAGCATACTGGCCACGGGAGCGAAGCCAGCGTGAGATCAGGCACAGTTCCGCCGACACCGTTACTTGTAGCAGCCTGAATAACATATTGAAGTGAAACGAAGGAGATTTGTAGTAAGTACTTTGTTTTCGACAGCCACTGCAGATGCATTTTGTACAGGAAGTGCCGGTTGTTGTTGGGATACCGAAGCTAAGGCATTATTCAGTTGTGATGATAAACCTGAAGATAAGTGAAACTTGACAGCCCCAATTCCAGAGTACGTAGAGGTGACAAGCACTATTTTTGCGGGCATGAGCATTGATATTCAAATGCGGGCCGTAATTAACCCGATGTAAGGATTTCAGCGGAACAATAGCGCCTAAACTTCAAAGGCTATTTACAAATATGAAAACATTTTAACTGTGAAACAAACGTGAAAAGGCCAATAACAAGACCTACTAGTATTAGTGAGGGCGGCTAGCTGTGCTTGACTGAACGCATTTTGTCCCAGTACTCCGGATAAAGCGGCCAACTGCTGAACAATCACATTTGTGATGAGGGAGAATGATTATGGAAAAAACTCAACAATAGGAAATAACTTCTTATTTCTGAAAACTTCCCATGCACTGAGACATCCAAAAATCTATACCAACTATCCACATTAATTCTTCGCAAACATTTTCCAACATTCAAGATAGGCTAACGTACTCAAAGCATTACTGTCGAGATGTCTACGTAGATGTTTTAACACGTTGACGACCGAGCCATTTTGGGCGAAA